TATATGTATATTTAATTAAGATTTTTAATAAAATTTCACTCAATAATGCACAAAACCTGCAAATCACCCCTTATTAACACCTTAATTTACAAATCAGGAACTATATCTGCTAATGAAAGAATTACATTTTATTTTTCTTGTTAAATAGTGTTTTTATATGTGTCATTTATTTAGTTATTTATTTTATTAATTTATTGTGTAGTGACTCTTAGCAATAATGTACTCCGTGATAATGAATATGTTTTAAGCACTTGCTAGCTAACAGTTCTGTTTAGCACGACTTTTTCACAATATAGCACAGCCTCTTATATCTTATTGCTTCTATAATGCAGTTCCTGATCCGGACATCAAGAGTGATGAGAACACAGTTTTGTGCACTGCTCTTTTTAACTCTGTTTTTCATATGCAGCTCTATGAACTAGACAGCGACCCGAAGAGGAAGGAGTTCCTGGATGATCTGTTCAGCTTTATGCAGAAGAGAGGTATTTTATGAAGAAATCACTTTTTACAGATCCAGACATGTACATATGTCATCTTCTAGAGACCTTTATGACCCCGACCTTTCCACATCAACACCCAGCTCATCTTTCACATCTCCACGGTGATGTTTATGTGTATTTATATCGGAGCGCTGCAGTTTTCTCTCTTCATATCATGCTGAAGCAGGGCTGTGGCTCCCACAATCACATGTGTGTTTATAAACGTGGGAGTGCGAACACATGTCCATGTCATGATCCGGCCTTGAGACTGAAGCATGTGTTCCTGTTAAACCTGCTGCGCTGGCTGTGGAAAATGTCCTCCAACACCTGTTAAACCTTCTCCTGATGAATAAATTAATGACCTGGGAGAGAAATTTTATTAGCTATGTTGATTTATAGCACAAATGCATGTGTACGACAATCTGCTGCCTGGAGAAAAGCAACTCTGTAATTAAATAAAATAATAATTAAAAATTAAATGTTTATAATTATTTAAATAATTAATTACATTTATTATTAAATTATATACACATACATACATACATACATACATACATACACACACATGTGTGTTTATAAACGTGGGAGTGCGAACACATGTCCATGTCATGATCCGGCCTTGAGACTGAAGCATGTGTTCCTGTTAAACCTGCTGCGCTGGCTGTGGAAAATGTCCTCCAACACCTGTTAAACCTTCTCCTGATGAATAAATTAATGACCTGGGAGAGAAATTTTATTAGCTATGTTGATTTATAGCACAAATGCATGTGTACGACAATCTGCTGCCTGGAGAAAAGCAACTCTGTAATTAAATAAAATAATAATTAAAAATTAAATGTTTATAATTATTTAAATAATTAATTACATTTATTATTAAATTATATACACATACATACATACATACATACATACATACACACATATATATATATATATATATATATACATACATACATACATACAATTTTTTAATATAATTTTATATATAATTTAAAAACATTTTATTACACATTATTATTTTATTGTTGAATGCATGTGTACGGCAATGCTGCCTGAAGAAAACCCTGGAATTAATAATTAAAAAAATAATAATAATTAAAATTGTATGAGTTATTCATTCATTCATTCGATTAATTCAAAACGCGGATTCATTCAAAAATGAAACACCGCTGTATTGCACCAATTGACCGTGCGCAAAGACCCGCCCTCCTTGGTTACTGTTGCTATCCCCGACAAACATTGCCGCTCTCACAGTACACTACAAATCATGTTCTCACGCAGTGAAAAATACATCTCAGAGCAAAGAGGAACCTGACAACACACCGACAGACAAGACAGAAAATGGTTTAAAAAAGCACATGGCGCCATAGTTTCATCACTTTAGAGTGTCGCAGTGACCGTCTTTTTGCAGTAAAAGACTTGTCATATTTTAATGAGTGGGAAGATGACATGAAGTGACGCGAGGTTAAAGTTAGTTGCATTGAAAACAGATGAGTGCACATGTGCATATACAGCTCCCGATCGGGGCGATGTTCATGGGATTCTGTCCACAGAATGATAAGAGCACACGTTTTAACATATCATTTTATTATTTCCTCAGTATTTTAACTTAAGCGCTGCAAGACATGCATACAGCGCCGGACATGACCGGTTTTCTGGTACGCAAAACAAGTACTTTAAAGGAATTCCTTAGCTTATTACTGTTACTGTGGCAGCTTAACCCCGCACATATTTATATTTAGTTATATTGAAAAAAGTTTCAATTCAGTTGATCTTTTTTACCCCGTTTTAAAATGGATTTCTATGGAGTAGATGTCGGGCAAGATGGTGGATAGCAGCGGCGGCACATAATATCCGCGTTCTGATTTGTCAGATCGCCTGTCAATCAAGCTCTTTGTGAACACTCAATTCTGCTTTTGACTTTATAGCTAATATTTGCATTGGCAAAGTTGAGGAAAAACAGACAATATTGTGTTTAAAATATAACAGTATTAACTTCTTATTTATTAAACTGTTTTTTGCAAGCACATTTGCACTCGTGCTATTCAGTACAAAATAAGCGACACTCATGTGATATTGCTCTCACTGCTCGTTTGATATCACTTATCATATGATATAAATACAAGATGACGTACAGGTCTGGGGTCAGGGTCGGTGTGTTAAATGCGTTAAAGTATTTTAATCGCGTTATTTTTCATAACTAATTAATTGAGTTAACGTGTTAAACTGACAGCCCTAATATAATATGTGTGTGTATATATATACATGTATGTGTGTGTGATACATGCTGTTCAAAAGTTTGGGATAAGTAGGATTTTTAATGTTTTTAATGGAGTCTCTTCTGCTCATCAAGGCTGTATTTATTTGATCAAAATACAGAAAAAACAGCAATATTGTGAAATATTATTGCAGTTTCTAATTATTATACTTTCCTATTATTATACTTTAAAATATCATTTATTTCTGTGACGAGCACTGTTTTTCCTGAATTTGTCTTAAGTGTCACATGATCCTTCAGCAATATGTCTTATAACAATACAAGTCTTTACTGTCACTTTTTATCCATTAAACACATCCTTGTTAAATAAAAGTATTAATTGCTTTAAAAAAATACTGACCCTAAACTTTTGAATAGTAGTGTATATTGTAACACAAAATTACTATTTTGAATGAACACTGTTGCTTTTAACTTTTTATTTATCAAAGAATCCTGAAAAAAGTATCACAGGTCCCAAAAAATATTAAGTGTTTCCAACATTGATTATAAATCAGCATATTAGAATGATTTCTGAAGGATCATGTGACACTGATGACTGGAGTAATGAAAACTCTCTTATTTTAATTTGCAATAATATTTCACAAAAGTAAAAAAAATTTCTGTATTTTTTTTTTCATCAAATAAATGCAGCATAGCACTTCATTAAAAAGCATTAAAATACTGACTGATCCCAAACTTTTGAATGGCACTGTATATATGTATACATATTCATACAAAATAAAATTATTATTAGGTATAATTTAATATATAATTAAAAAAATATATACATTATTATTAATATTTTGTGTATTTCTAGCACAGATGCATGTGTATTGACAGTCTGCTGCGTAGGGGAAATCAGAAACTCCCAAATACAGACTAAAACAGGAGTGTCTTTGATTTGTAGTGGATACATTCGAACTGCTAAGACACTCAACGCAGCTGTTTGTTTTTGTGCAGGGACGCCAGTGAACAGGATTCCCATCATGGCCAAGCAGGTGCTGGACCTCTACATGCTGTACCAGCTGGTGACAGAGAAGGGGGGGCTGGTGGAGGTCATAAATAAAAAGTTGTGGAGGGAGATCACGAAGGGCCTGAACTTGCCGACCTCCATCACCAGCGCTGCCTTCACTCTCAGAACACAGTATGTACTCACCGACACCTTCACAGGAGAAATTATCTTTACTGTATTCTATAGAATTTAAAGGGATCGTAAAATTCATTTTAAAATTATTTTATAGTGTTTCCTGAATTGCACTCAGATATTTAGTATGTTTTTTTATCAAAACTGACATGAATTAGATATAAGTGGTTATTTTCTACCCTGAATTTAAAAAGTTTCACTGCATTTTACGGCCAGCCGCCAAGATTAACTGATAGTGAAGTGTTGATCATAGCATTAGATTTAGAGCTACTCCGCAGGTGTAGGTTTATTGTTTTCAAGTTTAATCAGTAAAAACGTTTCTATCTTCTTTTTATTCATCTACAGCGATAGTTGGATGTCTTTGTCCATATTAGGGATTTCCTGGAGCGTCATAAGTGCTATTACTTCTGTGATGCACATTTTTAATTCACCGTGAATGCATAAAAGGCTCATATTTCATATGAAAGGCATGGACTCTATTTTTGATTTTGCATACCTTCTGAAAAAAAAAAAAAGAAATTACTGTCACAGATTTGTATCATAATAGTATAATGTTTTATAATAAAACCTTATGATGTATAATTATAGGCTGTCTGTTCACAGGTAACCTTTTTTTTAAAATAAAATTATTATTGCTATTATTTTCTAATTATAATAGTTATATTATTAAATTGTTTTATTTTTAATAATGAGAGTGTAATTACAACAGCAATATTTTTTATTTTTTTTATTTAGCAATAATAATATTCCGAATAATTATCATTAGTCATAATAATATGTAAGCACAACATTTTGGTCCAAATCGTGCAGCCCTACAAACAAGCAAAACAAACTTGGTGTTCTTTATGCATTTCCCCCCATTTTTTTAAAGTGCATTTTAAATTGCAAATCACAATTTTACCCAGAAAAATCGCAATTAGATTTTTTCCCCCAAAATCGTGCAGCCCTATTCTGCAATCCCATATACTTTAATCATATCTAACACAGAGAAAACCTGATGTAAATAAGAGAATGTTGAGCAATGTAATGTTTGGCGGAAATGAAGAAATCAAATCACCGATAGACTCGCATTGTGCTTGAATTGACTGCTCCAGTGATTTAATCGTTTTCTGTATATAAAATAATCACAATATAAATAACCAGTGGTTGTCACACAACTAACAGTTGATGGGTTAGTCACCGGCTTGATTCACTAAGGCATAAACAGCAGTAAACCACTTTACTGAGACAAAGAATGTCTGTGCATGAGCCCTGAAATATTACTGATCACGGGGCATATGCATGAAATGCAGTTTAAAAATTTTTACATTACATTTCTCAGAATTAGTTTAGTTTGCAAAGTTTTTTGCATCAAAAGGTCTTTCTTTACCTGAAGCAGTATTGGTCTTGCAATCGATGGACAGATGTTTAAGTTTAATTTCGCACCCCTCTGCAGGTATATGAAGTATCTGTATCCTTACGAATGTGAGAAGAGGGGTCTCAGCAACCCCAACGAGCTGCAGGCTGCCATCGACAGTAACCGGCGAGAGGGACGCAGACATAGCTTTGGCAGCTCGCTCTTCACCTATTCACCCAACGGGACACCCACAATGCTCACCTCTCCCAAACTCTCCATGCCACCCATGGGCATCGCCCTGCCCAGCAATGGAGCCACGGTCTCATCCTTACATAAAATGAAGAAAGGTAAAACCTTAATGCAGTGGGTCATGGTTACATAGTGATGGGTAGTAACTGATTACATGTAATCCAGATTACATCATCATATTCCAAAAATAGAGTACTTGTAATTAGATTATATTACATTTTAAAATGCTCATAATCAGATTACAGTTACTTTTTTAATGGATTAGGCTACATCATGATTGCATCTTGTTCAAATAATAGCAGCAATTGTATCGAATTCTTTTCTCTTTAAAATGTATCTTTTAAAAAAAATTCTACTTTGTGTCATATGATTTAGATATATGGAATGGCCGTGTAAATGTGAATTTGTGATCCATGCTTATGAATTTGGGGACAAAAGCACCAATTAGACCAAGTATGAGACAAATAATTAATAATTAATAATTAATTTTGCATTTTTATTATTTAATTAATCATTAGCTTTTCATCAACTCGTGAACCCTAAGCAGTTCTTTCGTTAACCCTAGTTTGGGAAACCCTTGTGTAATGTCAAGTTTAATTCATTTCTTGTTGTTGATAACAAAGAATGGAATGTATTTTCTTTCTTTTTTTATTATCAAAATGGTACACAATAATCTAAAAGTAATCAAAAATCAGAATAGATTAACTAAAACAAGTAATCTAATAGATTACATTATGTATCATGTAATTTGTAATCAGTAACAGATAACAAATTGTAAGTAATCTACCCAGCACCGTGGTTACATCTCTTTAATGACTTATGGTTTGCTTAATTTCAGCTGTGTTTTGTCGTTCTCTGTTGTAGAGGATGATGGAGTTCAGGCCCGTCTGCCAATGTCTCTGGCCACTCATTCACTAGCTGCGGCCCAGGCTGCAGCTGCGCAGGCGGCCACCATCGCACAGGTAGCTGCGCTGGAGCAGCTGCGGGACAAGCTAGAGTCCGGTGAGCCCCCGGAGAAGAAGATTGCACTACCACTGGAGGACCACCAGCGGCTACTGCAGAGAGCCCTTCAGCACAACCTGCTGGCCATGACGGCACAGATCCCCATGAACATCCGCATCAACAACCAAGGTACTGACACCTTAACATTCTGGCGTACTGATGGACCAAATATGGCGATAGTAGGGATATGCAGTCACATTTTAAAACCGACTAGAACAGCATTTTTCAATGGTGATGGTATCGTCCCCCAGTGGAGGCGCTGGAAGCTATTTTTTTGAAAGTGAGGCATTTGTTTAAGGCAAGTGTTTGGCCAAGATTCACAATGAGATGAGCTGAAACATTGTAACTACTTGCAAAAGAACATGGTTTGCAACATTCTAACTCAGTGTTACACTGGACGCATCAAAGCAAACATTCAAAATCTATTTGTTACGATAATTATCGCAATATAATTTTCCTTGATAACACGATAACAAGTGTTTGATAAATGTTCGATATAATGTTTATGCACCAGAAGCGAAGCGAAACAAAACAGCGCTACTCATTTAATCCGCGCCACACGGAGCATTTATCCGCTCGGCTCAAAGTTCAAACAGCAGCGCAGCACGAACTCACTAGAGCAGATGCGTTTACGCGCTGACCAGTCTTAAGCAGCACTGTGAGATCCAGTGTGAAGCACTTGAATTTAGTGAAAGACATACTTGATTTAAACTAGTTTAAAGCCAGATGAAACCGAACCTGACAGACAGGAGAGTCACTGTGCACAATGATACAGTCCAAAAGCTTTTCAGTCTACAAATCGCCATCATTTACCATGGATTTACCGTAGTAACACTAACTGCACCATGGTATTGTGGCAGCAATGTGGGATATTCATACAGAACATTATTAATGTAGACTTATTAAAAGGGTAATGGAATATAATTACAGTATTTTTTATGATCAAGCTATAGTGTTTGTGCATTTACACTAAATGTGTTTAGACTACTGTTTTTTTATAAAAATACCTAGAAACCATGTAGTTACATTTTTACCATGGTATTAAGGTGCTACATGTGTGGTTTTAACTGTGATTGTCGTGATCTAAATGTATGCTTCTAAATGGTTAATTGTAATAAAACTCAAACGGTTAGAGTAATTAAAAATCACCATATAAAAATTAGTTTTTTTTTTATTTTTAATTTTTTACAAATGTTACTGTTTTTGATAATGAGCATAAATTTACATCTGCATCTGCAAATTTTAGAATTTTTAGTTTTGGGTGAAAGTTTCTCTTTAAGACGCCTTGAAACTTTAGGCAGGTTCATCTGACTCTACACGCTTAGCCTACATAGAGTTGCCTCAATTTACATTTTTACTGTGGTTTTATCCTTTCCCATAAACACCGACCTGAGAAAAAACACCTTTTTATAAAATTTCTGATGTTTCAGGGAAACCTGCGTGTGGAATATCCAACCTTTGGTTCCTGAGGTCATGAAATGAACTGTGTGTTTTCTAGTACAGCGCTGCAAAGCCCCTCTTACATCATCTTTCACTGGTACCAGCTATTTTGTAGGAAAGGGTGTGAAACTACTACCACAGCCAGACTAAATTACTGGCATGTGGTAAGTGTAATTTACAGATCAGTAGTTGTCAGGTGGAGATGTCAGCAAGCTTCTCAAGGGTGAGTTATTGCAGCTCTCATTATCCCACAGTAGTACTCTAGTAGCCTTCTGTTCTTAATAAACACTGTTCTAATGATTGAGGAAACAGGGTGTTTAGAAGTGCTCTGATTAGATCTTATCAGAACTGTATAGTTGCATTGATGTTATTTACTTTAAAGAATGCTGGCATGAGGGGTCTGACTCATTAGGAGACTGGAGGTGTTGACCGCAATGACAAAAAGGCAAGGCGAATAGTTCTGCAGTGTGGGAAACCCCAGCCTCCACACAGCATGACTTCCTTTTCTTGGTTAGAGTTGTTAAGTACTAGAGGTTTCGGCTGGTGTATTTTATCGGAAGATGAATAAGAGACCAAATAAATTCCCCCTGCCACAGCATGTGAACTCTTTTCATTGTTTTTAACTATTGAAATGGCTAAGGCAGCGCCCCCAGCTGGAATGATTCTGTCTGAATGCCCACAGATGAGTACTAGTAGCTTTGTGAGCACCATTATTAATAATTCTCACACTTTGGGCTAGTGGTTTGTACAAACCCCTATCCTATGTATTAATTGTTGGCACCTAAAGGGATCGCTCAGCCAAACAATGAAGATTCTGTCATCGTTTACTCCACTTGTTCCAAATCTGTATGAATTTGCATTAATATTAGCTCTACAAACTACAATATAATTTACAAGAATTTTTTTTTAAAATATTGATATTATAATAATGTAATATAATAATAATAATAATGATGCAATTTTTTTTAAATAATGATAATTAGAACATATTTTGCCACGTGTGTTTTTGAGATAGTACCTTGGTTGTTTACAAACATGGTAAAATCGCCAGTAGGTGGCGGCAAGTTCACGTCTTAACGAGTGACTCACTCATTCAAAAGATTTGTTCAAAACAGCTGATTCATTTAGAAAGGAAGCTAGTGACTTTTTTTTATGAATGGATCAGTCTGACTCAAAAGATTTGTTCAAAAATATTTGCTCAGTAACAAAACACTATGTGTTGATCGGAGACGCACAAATGTTATTTATTATTGTACATTATTCTAAGTGCTTTATACAGTACAGCTTCACAGAGATACATAGGAAATAGCAGAATCAATTATGGAAACTCAATTGTGAAGACAGTAAAGCAGCTCTGTAAGACAATAGTGTCATTATTTAGCTCAAGTCAGTTCAGAATTGTATTTGAATTGTGATCATCGTGATCACAGAGCATAATCGTCCGTATTTGCCTGCAGGTTATTTATCCTGAAAACATTTTTTTAATTTTTTTATTATGCAAGTAAGGAATGTGACAATATTTACAAGTGCCAAATACAGAATCACTTGGACAAATGAACATATATCCAGATAGCTAACATTTCAAGATCATTCTGATAACTCCTGTATATGTATTCTACCTCATCCTCCTCCAACAATCAATCGCCTTAGCACCTCACACTCTTCCTCGGTGCAAAACCAAAGCCAAAAAACCTCAGTTACTACACAAGATATGCCAAAAAAAAACAGTGCAGGAATAACTGAATCGTTCTCAACTTGAAGTACACTAGCTCAGGTCTTTTATTTACACTCTCCTTTGTTCAGGAGTCAAAGAAAATCTAAAATAACAACAAGAGTTTATTATAAAGATAATGATGTATATGCAAAACCTGTGAATAATTTATTTCTCTTTCTGTGAGCACACTGTCTGGCGTTAACAAGGCAGTAGGATTCTGCTTTTTAGGGTTTTATAGTCTCTGACTGACAAAAGCTTTTCGTCTAAACCATAACAATAGTATTATTGTTATAACGTGTGATGCAAACAGCTTAAGGGTCTGAACTAATAATATATTGTAGATTTTATTTTCTCTGTGTATGTATCTGCAGTGCCTTGTGAAGGTTTTTCCTTAGCACAGTTTGAAAGTGCTGTTGACAGGCCAACGTCTTCAGCATGAACACAATACAAAGTGCGTTATTGTCAGAAGTTGTTTTTGTGAGTATTCAATCGTTTGGTTTCCTAACTCAGAGCTTCATATCACAGTCAGTGAAGATTCAGGATAGTTCAGCCAAAAAATCAAAACACCCTCAAGTTGTTTCAGACCTGTATGAACAGGAGAACAACATCTTCTTTTGTTTCCAACAGAAGAAATGAATACAAGTTTGGAGGGTGAGTAAATGACAGAATGTTCATTTTTGGGTGAGCTGTCTCTTTAAGGAGCTGATTCACACATGCATTTGTAGCCTGTTTGCATCTTCACGACTGCTGGCAAACTCTGGAGGTCACGTTCTCCATGAGCCTCGCAAAAGTTGCTGAGGTATTGCAGAGTCCGTACGTTCCTGGACCTGGCCCACAAATGTATTTTGGCCAATAGTTGCTCTAAAATACAAGTGGAAAGAGATCAGCAGTTTGGCTGAAAATAATTGCAGTTTGACTCCAAGCATGACAGTGTAACAGGTTCGTTTTAAGATCTGAATACTACACTAACTGGAGATCTTTAGTTTGCCGTTTTAGCTTAATCGAATGCAGTTTTGAGGGGTCCAACGATGCAGCCGTTTCTGGTTATGTACAGCGCAAATCAGAGGAAATTCTAATTGCAATGGCATGTTTAGAAAGTGTCGAGAGAAAAATGAAATCTTCTCTTCTGAAGGGATTTGAAGGATGTGGCTTCCTGTGTTTAACAGCTCAAACCCTTCGAGGTTGTTTTAAATCATCTCATCAACTCTTCCTGGTCAGTCTTTTATCAACATGTAGCTACAGTTTATGAATTATGTCAAGCTCCGCTAGCATTACACTGTATGCAAGGTGAAAATACCCACTTGTTGGGCATCGAGAGGTGAAATGTTCGCTCATAAGAAGTCGAATCATTATTTGGAGTTTGATAGGCGAGAGATGCTCCAGGCTTTATGGAAATGGGGTTTCCTTAAACTGAAAGCCTTATTTTGATCTTGCAGGTACAGCTTGAGCAGCTTGAAGGTAAATTCCTCGATCCTTCATTTGGGATCAAGCTTGCAGCCTTTGCTTTCGCAGCCGAGATCCTTAACCGTCAAACTGTTAATGCATATAACTCTGTTATTCAGTTGCTGTACAGAAAACAGTGTAGAAAATCTTACCGTTTCTGTCTGTATTGTACAATATTGTCGTTTTTTCCTGTTTAGAAAAGGACACCTCATTTTAACACACTTCAAAGTCATTACTGCCAAAATCTCTACCTCAAAAACTCATTTATCAGCTAAGATCTGTTTGCAAGCTTTGCCAGTTCATCACTTTTCACATGGATCTACCGGCTGTGAGGAAGAACAGGGCATATATATATCCACTTTTATTCGGTGAATTTGACTTCTTAATGTATTAGCCGTGATATCCAGCCCCTTTTTGCTTGAAACTGTTAAAACGGCACGTTTTTCTTCAATGCACATCTGTTCTCGTTTCATCTGCAAGCCCGCCTTTTACAATCAAATCCCTCAACTTTTAAGTGACCCATTGATGTATAACCGTAGATCTTTATTGTAATGACCTTTCCCCTAGTGTGTTTTGTTTTGTTTTTCTAGGAAACGATACTGTTACCACACAGAGTAAGACAGATACACGTAACACCCGTTTCAAGCTGTTGGTATCCAGGTCTGTTTTTACTCTGCTGTATGCCTTAACGTATGCAAATTTGAATATAGCATGCTAATGTAGTCAACTTTATTGCAAGGACAACCAAATTGCTGTACAATAAACCTTCGCTGTTATTGCAGGATGCCTTATTCTTTGATAATTCTTTGTTTGCTTTTGTCTGTGCAGATCTTAACGTTACACTAAAAATCAAGTCATTCACTTTTCCATTTCTTAGACAGCTGTGAAGTTTAGGTTTTACGTTACAAGGCATTTGTCGTCTTCTCAGGAAATACACTTCTACCGCTAGTTACACAGATATGTTCAACTTAGTGCTGCGGTCACAGTGCATGTAACATTTACTTTACCCTTTTATAATGGTAATGCTAAATGTTTCCACATTGGCAAGTATATGATTTGTTTTCTAAATATCCCTTTCTTTTGTGAGTGCTTTTGAGTTTTGGCTTGCTTAGGTTGAATCTGAAATTGCTCCGAGACCAGGTTTTAGTGCTTTGTGTATCACTGCGCACCAATTCCACTTTTTACAATTTTTGATTTGTGTAGTGACAACCTCTTGACCGCTTCTATTAGAGGTGAAGGACAAAAATAATCCTAACCTATTTAATCTAATCTCTGTTTGTGTGGATAATTAACTTTATTATGAAAAGAAATATATCGATATGTAACTGTGGGGTGGATATGGGATCCAAAGAATGTCACATAAGTGCTGTTATGGCCAGATTATTATGGATTGAAAATCTAATCTATATTTTGGGAAATCGTCACACCACAACTGTACCTCTCTCAGTGTGAATGCTGATAAGCCAGATAATGACAAAAAACACCTCAACATGCGTTCAAAAACAAATGTAGTTCTAGTAGATGGACTTGAATTTTTCTTTTTTTAACCAAAGTTATTTGCATTTTTTTATATGTTGTAATGTAAAGGTAATTCCGGAGCTCCAGTTTGGGTGTGTCTGTTTTCTGTTGCGTTCGGTACGTTATTGCCTTGTTTAAAAAAAAAAAAAAAAAAGTCAATGTTGATGAGTTTTGTTGTTTCAGAGTTTGCAAAATGTACTCTTGACGTTTACGTTTCATAATTGTCAAGCATCAGATTTTTCAGTGTTTGGTTTTTCAAAAATGAAAATCTTCAGCTGTAAACAGACACTGAATACAATAAAGTGTAATTCTGACAAAATGTTAGTGGTTCTTGATTCATTTCAGTTTAAGATTTTAGTAAAACCCTGTATATTGTAGAAACATGTTAACACAATATTTTCCCACAGTACATAAAAAGTGTTTTTTGTTCAGAAAGAGAACTTTTAGAGGAGGTGCAGGAGGCGTTTTTTGTTATTATTAAATCTAAATGACATTGATATATTAAAATGCAGTTTTTTTTTTTGTATTGTAACCATATACACTTATATGCACAATTTTATTTTTAAAATGATAGCAAATGTAACACCCCACAGAACTTTTTTTTTGTCATAATTGTAAACTTTATGAAATATCATTTAACAAATCACTTAGTATATGTAAATGAGCATGAATTTGGCCCTAATTATTAATTATTGACTGTTTAGTAACGAAAAGTTTTTTTTTTTTTTAAATCCTAATATTATTTTTGGTTAAAGTTGTTGCAGAAGGTCAAAATTGTTAAATCATATAAGTACCTGTACTTATCTAGGATTGTTCACTGAAAAATTAAGTCAAATATAGCCTATATTCCAAATTCTATTGAGAAAGTTGAGCATTTAATGTGGTAATGATGGCGGCCTGACTGATTCATCTCTACCAAGTTGTCCAACTGAAAACGTTATTGCAAAGAGGGAAAATAGATCCAGTTTCTGGACATTTCTCAGTGCTGTCAGAAACCTAGCACTGACACTTGTTTTAGCCTATTAAAAACATTCCACTGAAAATTAGAATATCATACAATTAGTACAGCATTGTTTGTCGCCCTAATTTTACATTAATAAATGACGTGTTTCTGCTATTAAACGATGTTTTGCCCTTATTGGTGTTTTAATAACTCTGTAAACAAAATGTGACTTCCGCATCACGTTGCGCCATTGTTTTTTGAAGCTCCGCCCACCGCATCGAGCGTGTGTTCTGATTGGCTAACGCTCGATTGAATTTCTTTCATCAGTTTAAACCTAAACTGAGGTCAGTCCGTCTGGAAACAGCGAGACGAATCTAATGGATCAAATTCATGGAGATAAACGCGACGCTTGAACATTATTCCTGAGAGTTTAGAATCGTGAAGACGTGTTTTAATCGGGGCTCCAGCAAAATGAGACTTCGCTCGAGAAATATTTTAAACGAAAACCCGACGACACCGTGCCGCCGCCGTCGTCGAGCCGCTCCGGAGACACCGGGACCGCAAACCCCGCTGCTCCAGACCCAGGTCAGTCTTTCTGTCTTGAACACGACATATGAAAAGCAAACAAAACTTGTGTGTGTTTGGTATGATTGAGCGTGTGATTCCGTATTGTGAATGATCTGCACAGGCCTGGTTAGCATGATGCTAACCGATTTAAAGCAAGAGATCCGGTGAGTGGAATTAAACAACGTTACTATATTATTTTTTTATTAAAATATCACAAATCACCATTAAAAAACATGTTATTGTTCATATAAATAATAATAATTGTGTATTTCTGGTGAGTGTCGCAGTGCTGCCTCAGCTGTTTATGGGCGGGGCGAATTCTCAGTGTAGCCAATAAGACTTTAGTATTTTTGAATGGCATTTGAGAAGTTGTATCTCGGCCAATCAGCGTCTCTGTGTATTGTCGCTGGAGGAGCACATGTATCTTGTAGTTACTGTTGTTTAAAACGCAAAGTAAATTGATAAATGATATTCTTTATAAGATATTCGAAGGTAGGCATTTTTAATCGCACATTTTTTATGTCAAAAATACATTTTTTAATGACAGGTTTATTAACTGCCTGGTTTGTTCGCCCTTAAGGATGAAGTTATAGTTCTTCAAGACCGCTTGAATCTGGACCCTGATGATGTCCCAACAGTTGCCAAACGTCCACGAAGGATGAGAAAAGCTTTATCAACTGTTGACAATAAAGGTACATCACTGAATTTGACAAATGTTATTTAAGAGTCTACTAATGATGATACGGTATTTAAAAAAATATCATGCTCACCTTTGTATTTTTAGAGTCAGATTTCAAGACCCCAGTCCGTCACCTCCGGGAAAGGCATTCGTCATTGAATCCTGCTGTTCGAAGCCTCTACTCTCCTTCAGTGCACTTTCTCACACCCCCACGAGACAGTCAGTGCATTTAAACAATTCTGATCAGCAAATATTAGCATGGAGCCCAGTACATGACATATACAAGAAAAAAAAATTAATCATTTAAGTTAAATCATGGCCACGTTGTACTAATTTGTTCCTCATTGTAATTTTGTTAATTCAGGGATATGTACATTAGCTGTGTCAGTTACATTTACAGCTAAATTGAGGCAGATACAGTTCAACTTAAAATACAGACATTTTTATTAGTTTAGGTTGGGTTTAAAAAAAAAAAATATTTCAAGTAACATTTTCATGTTTCAGTTTTTTAACCATAATATCCCTGGCAGTTAAAAAAAAATCTATAATGAACTCCAGTTCAAAACACAACATGTTCCCAAACTACAGATATCTTAAAAGCTTTAAAAGTGACATGTACTACATGTAAACCAGATTTGCATAAACCTAAACTCAAAGAATCACTTTTATGTTACATTTTCTCTGCACTTCCCTACAGTGCAAATCCATTTGAAGTGTCTGACCTTTATTATGAAACATTTTGTCTGTACTCTATGGTTTTAAATTAGATTTGGCACAGACCTTTAGACTGTTCTGAATCTGTGTGCTGTATTTTTCTAGTTAATCTGATTTATATAATTCCTGGATCAGACTTCCAAACAGAGTTCCTTTTGAGGGGGGTGATAACTTTTATACACCAACCCCCCTGTCTTACTGCTATCATGTTTTTGCATCTACTTGATAGGATTTGCTAGTGATGTATTAGCAACATGCTCTGACTGATTTGTCATCTGGTTATGGGTTGTTGTAACAGCCGTTGTTTATTTTAATAGGAGAGCAGCCAAACACAAGTCCCATGTTCAGCCCTGAACACTGTGTGTTTGGCTACAGTGCTGCCAGCCCTCTTTCAGAGGATGAAGAGAATGAAGAAGTGTTCAGTCCGTGAGTCTCTTCTACAAAGGATTTAATTTTGTGCACTTCAGACTGATTGAGAAGGTTTAATTTGAAATGTTTGTCCCCCCCCTCAGTTTTACGTTTATTAAGAACATTCCGAATCGTTCACAACAGTCCAGGCCTGTCTCAGCAGTGCGGGACATTCCGCCAAAGACGAGGAGCACACCTGCTGCTACTCTGGTGCTCGATTTGGTAAGTTATCTTCCTAATAGCCCGCTCATTTCAACATTTTGGTCAGAATGTGACTGAACTGATTGAATTTGCATGCAGTGTGGTGACTGGAAACTAATGGCAGGGCCATGAAATCAGATGGGCCGTTAATGCTCCCCCACTGAGAGATGCTTTAACAATCATGTTCTGTTCTCATTGATTGGATTGAGGTTTAGAGGCGACTGGTTTGTGATTCTTTGTATTTTATTTTTGTACGATTCTAGGATGAAACCCTCGTGTTCAGTTCACTCAATGTGATTCATGATGCAGAATACACCTTCAATACCCGCTTTCAAGATCACAAGTACAAGGTTGGTAAAACTATTAGTTAATGTTCAAAATTAAACATGCTGAATAAAAGTGCTCACCTTCAGGCCATCCAAGATGTACTTGAGTTTTTCTTCATCAGATTTGGAGAAATGTAGCATTGCATCACTGTCTCAGCAATGGATGCTCTGCAGTGAATGGATGCCGTCAGAATGAGAGTCCAAACAGCTGATAAAAACATCACAATCATCCACAAGTAATCCACACCACTCCAGTCCATCAGTTAACGTCTTGTGAAGCCAAAAGCTGCGTGTTTGTAAGAAACAAATCCATCAAGGCGTTTTAACATTAAACCGTCACTTCTTGCCAAAATATGATTCAATTATCCCCTGTTGTCCTTCCACATCAGAATTTGTTTTGACTGTTAGACTTGTATATGGTGAATATTTCTCACCTAATTAAGACGAGACCTTTTCACTGGAGGAAGTTATGGATAGAG